TTATGAATACTTGTCTCTCTTTCATGATGGTTGTGGTAGTTCTGCAAGTTTCAGCTCCGTACAATATAACTAACTGTCTTGACGTTCATATTGAAGATTCTGACTATGATATTGGTTGACAATTGTTTTGAGTTCCATATGTAGTTCAACTATGAGAATGCTGTCCTTGCTTTTCCAACCTTCGTCTTTATGTCCGCATCGGATTCTCTGTGCACAATTCTATCTTCTGTCCTGTATGCAACACTTTGCAGTGTAGTCTGTTGTATGGATTCCCAATGACTTTGACGATCTTCTCAGGTACTCTATAGTCTAGAAGAAGTTTCCATAATATTCTCCCATCCAGACTGTCGAATTGTTTCTCATAATCAAATAAATTGATGTATAGTGACGGCTAACCTCCTACTCATGGTGTTTGATGCCACCAAGCCAAATTTTCACCGCTAAGAATTTCAAGAGTTAGTCACATAATTAAAAATTACATTCATGGTTGTACATTTGGGATAGAATTTAGCACCTGAGAACACTAGCAAAAGGTTTAAGCATCTGATTAACTGCTATGTTTGATGCAATTACGAGTTTACCCATTTTCAGAATGAAACTACGAGTCTGTGACACAATGAGAGATAAGCTAGCTATTCTGGCGCGCCCCGACCCGGCCGACTAGATAGAGTAGTCCAAGTTCGTAAGTGTGAAATATATTCCACAAGCATCCAGAAACACGAACAACTACAGCAAGTTTGGTTGGCAAAAAACTCATTTATATATTGATTCACACAACCATTTTGATTAGTAGTTAGAATAAAATCATATATATAAAAAATACTTAGTTATAATAAATCGTGTACTGAGTATTCTTCATGTTAAATTAATACAAGAATATGGTATATTATACAGAATGAAATGTCATTCGGGAAAACAAAACATACACTAAACTGAATAAACACCATATTGAATATTTGAGCAAATCAATTTAATTTCGACTTTCTTTCAAGTCACTAACACTCATGAGGACCTTACCCAAAGTGCTCGTCGATTTTTCATCATACATGTCTATAGCCACGAACTCCACAAGTAAGCACCACATATCTGTGTAGTTGTTCACAGCTTTTAGTGAAGATTTTCTAAATTTCATATCACAAATCAGGAGAGTATTTTGTTCAGCACAAAAAGGTCTCAGATCTGAAATTTCATTATGACCACTCGGCTTAAACTATTATTATTATTATTATTATTATTATTATTATTATTATTATTATTATTATTATTATTATTCACAAACATCTTATGGGTACATAAGTGTTGTGAAGAAACCAATTTTCAATAATGTTAGCATTATACTTGCCATATTTAAAAAAAAATTAGAGTAATAATAGTAGAATATGAATAATTATAAATCGGGTCTGTGTAATTGAGAAGAATATTGAATTCAGTTTAAAGAAGAAAAAGGAGAAAATAAAGGAATAGAAATAAAGGAGACGTGAAATACACAAACATTTTAATTGGCGTATTTATGAACATAAAACAAGAACAAAGGACTATATATATATCGTCAAATTAGTAAAAAAAAATAATTAGGAAAAAACAACTTATTATTGTAGTAAGATATGACCCTAGAATAAAGGTTTGTGCAGTCATAGTTTGGAGTGATGCGATGAAAGTCTCAATTGAGTGAAAAGGATAATGAAATATCAATATGTATGAGTCATATATGAATAGTGAAGATAAAACGGGTCTGAGAAGTTAATTAAAGTGTAACACAAGTTATTGTTTTAATTACAAACTTCGTAATCTTAGGAATATTTATTTAGAGGGAAAGAAGAGAGAAAAGAAGTGAACACCTAGTGAAAAGTTTCATCCATGATAAGAATAATAATTGCGTAATGAACATCAACCTCAAGCAGAAACCCGTCAACTTTAAATTCACTAGTCGCCGTTTCAAATATGTTGGTAGTATAAACCAACCGTAAGTTATCAATTCATACTTAGTTTTTTTCAGAACCCATCTCATGTTTTCACTAAACGAGTTTATTTTCTAAATTCGATTTCAGAAAGTTACTTGAAAACGAACTAGAAGCTGTGGGCATTCGATTGAATAAAAACAAACCAAATATTTATTTCAAGGTAATCTTAAATTTGATCACTGTTCTAAGCTCCCTAATTTTCACAGTCCGTCATAAGAAATAACTGAACACGTGGTTCGGTTTTATAAGTACTTGACGATGAACTCCCACAATTGAGTTATATCTCGTCTCCCTGTGACAGCTGGGTGGTTTCGTTTGTCAGTGACTGGGATTCGACCAAGCATTCACATCCAAACCCATGAAGTATCTTATTAGAGCCAGCGATATTACATTGCTTTGACTTCGGAAAACAAAACAGAACTCGAATACTACCACAGGTTCATGTTTTTTGACAAGCTTTGATCACTTTCCTCGTATTGATAAATCATCTTAATTCCCGGTCTATCGAGAAGATAGTTGCGGTAAGAGTTGTCAAATACTAGCTTTAACATTCAAATAGGCGAGGAACACGATTAACTAAATCACGACTTTTTCAACGTTGGGGATAGCTAACAGTCGTATAATGTAGCTTCGATGTTATTTTTTTCTTTTCCTCCAAGCATATTTGTTCTTTGCCACAGTACATTATTACTGATGGCCTCTGGTCAATGGGGAATAAACAGCTTTGTTTGACACCGGTTGTTACTTAAAGTGAATATGTGGGCTGCTGTTCATTCACGGCTATGCAATGCGGTCCTTCGTAAGAGTTCTGTATAGTAGTGATCTTACCAGGTGATTCACGTCTCATATCTCCTTCTATTTCAGCGTTTTCCTCTGTTATTGCTAGGTCTTCCACGTGTTTCTGCTTGCCAGCCCTAATGCTTCTCTTCACTTGCTTGTTTGCTTCTGTGTGTTCAGCTTGTGCCTTGACTTTCTCTGTTCTTGTTCGGCTGATGTTGATTGTTGTCTTGTCATTCTTTTCTTGAATGCTACTCAGGGTTTCGATGGAGATCCATTCCTTATGATGATGCTTCCTGTGGCCCTGAACCTCCTAGCACGTCGAGATTATTGTTTCTTTAATCCCTCTCCAGCTGTCCTCCATAGTAGTTTCTTTTTCTTTGTGTAGATCTTGTAAAGCTTGGAACCTGTTGCTGAGAGCTATCATGAATTCGTTGAGTTTGCTAGTATCTCAAAGGAAGGCTTTATTAAACCTTTGTAGTGCTGTTTCTCCAGTTGTCCAGTTCTTCTTTAGCTTCAGTTTAATTTTGGCAACCAGCGGATACTTATATGAACCTAAGCCAGCTTATATTTATGTTCTCATGACTTTCACGGGTCTTCTGAATTTTTTCGTGATGCAATATGATCGTCCTCGTACTATTTAGTGTGATCTGCAGAGACACATGTAGCTTTGTGTATGCGTTTGTGGGGGAATATAGTGCATCCTATAGCTATTTTGTTGAATGCACGTAAATTTGCAAATCTCTCGCTATTCTTGTTTCTTTCCTTCAGTCCATGTTGTCCCATGATATCTTCATACTCGATGTTGTCCATTCCGATCTTGGCGTTTAGTTCTCCTATAATGATGGTCAGGTCCTTTTCTGGGCACTTATCTACGACCGATTGCAGCCTCTCATCGTACTGATCTTTATTGTCTCCACTATTATCACTGGTGTTGGCGTGGGACTGAATATCATTCACTGAGATCCTTGCTTCGTTTCGCTAAATGTTGAGGGTCATTTTCTTTACGGAATATAATTTCTGTAGCAATAGTATCACGCTTCAGCAAACGACCACTATCTACCATCAAGCTCGCATATGAATGCCCATTAAATGAAGTCTTTTACGTAGGTAGCTAGAAGGCAAGAACATTGAGAGGGCAGATTCTGTGAAAATGACATAAAACTTTGATAAAAGAAATAGATCACTTTATGGCACAGGTAAAATTGCACACAAACACAGATATTCCAGGTTATAATAATATTGATACATCTGATATTTGATCAGATATCCTTAGAAAAAGATTTTAACGCTGTATTTGTGATAGGAATTGAGCTTTACTCTCACGACGTATCTTAATTTTTACCAGGAAGTGCGGTAATTAATACAGGGCAGATGTGAATAAATTAGCTAATTTCGGACAAACTACTCGTCTGTTATAGAGTGTCACCAGTATTCTCTGTAGCCGTGCGATTAGTGGAAGGCTTCAGTCGACAACCACTGAAAGCCTGCGATGGCAATCATTCATTAATAATTCGCGTATGTTTTTTGAATAAACGAAAACGAAGAAACAAACAAACATAGTCGTTTAGACAAAATATGGAGAGCCTGAACTGTTCAAAAAAAGTTATGCGTCAGTGGAAACCTCCTGAAATAAACTTAACCATTATTCTTACTTGAAGCTATGAGAATAATGAAGTTAAAAAGTGCAAAACTATAGCAAGAACTTCATGATTGTTTTTAACATAAAATACGTGCCGACCTGATATACATTTATTGGTTCATATCCCAAAGAAAGCGAAGAATACAAAGGGCTTAAGTCATAAAGGGTATTTGTCATGAAGACTTCAGGATCTCAGAAATGGCAGGGATTCCCAGTGACTATTCTCCCATTCAACCAAACGATTGATCAGATTCCTGAGCATTTATCTAGCGGCTGTCACTATTAAAGCCATTAATAATAATAATAATAAACCAAAATGATATGTCGGTAAGATCACACATAGTAGAACAAGGTAAAATCTTCTGTCGTTCTGTCACTCATCTGTTCTTTAATGATACCGATGAGCTGTCCAATTCATCATGTCTACAGCAAGTGAGTGAATGGACTTCTTATGTCTGATGATATAGAAGACTAAGAATAGAGTATTAACACGAATAAACAAGAAAAAAATCAATCAATTAATTTACACTGTGTTATCACAAATAAAATATATTGTGTTTTTAATGTGTCTCGTTTTAACATGCTCCAGCTAGTTTTCGATTTCCAAGGTCGCTCGTCTGATGATTAGGTTTGCCCCTTCGTGGTGGCGTTCCAAGGTGATTTGTACCTTTTTGATAAAACTCGATAATATTGCTGCATTTGACTTGTGCTTTTAAATCGGATGTATTGCAGTCAAAATACATTCCAACCCTCTAGTAGCACTTTGATTTGCAAATACTATTTCTACTGAATATAATTCGCAATCCCCTGAGATACGCCATTAACCTCACTAGTGTCTGTTGGGTGAAACTTCAGTGTTTACACATACACTCAACATGGAAATGCATTGCTATTCGCCGAAACTTTAATTTCTGGTTGCTAATCGAAGGCTTCTACTCATTTACGTCTATTTTGAGAATTTTTCTGGGCTATGTAATTCATTTCAGAAAGCTTAGGCGTGAAATTACTAGAATCCTCATCGCTGTTCATTCGACTCATTCATTTTTTGAAAGATATAAGTCGTTTGATTGGTCTATCTCTTCAAACTTCGTTAGCTAACTTTTTAAATTGTATAAGACCGTATTCTTTGAATGAGACGAACTCTAACCGTTTACCAGCGTCCGAATTCACTGGGGAACTCATGTGACATCAAACGAGCAGTAAATAATATTTGTTTCTTCCGGGTACAGAAAGCTCAGTAGTCTATGTGGAACATGTCTAAGTCGTAAAATGTACAGCGATGTTTGCGCAACCCCAGGGTAACAATGAGATGCACACGAATGTCAACAATTGATTTTTGATTACAATAACTTTACCCGAATCGTATTGGAAACTTATACTAACTATAAGTTCATGTTAAGTAATCGAATTGTGCGAACACATATCTAACGCTCACCATGTCTCTTCGTTTAGGATTCCTACAACTCCGACAAACCCCTTGCGTAGTAATTGCTTGTTTCGTCATTAGTAATCAGTTGTAAAGCTATTGTTTGTTCTAGATTGCAATTGAATACAACTGACTAAAAGTTCATCGGATATGTAAAAACCTTTAACTCGTCAACTTATTACTTGGCTGCACGCTAGTTCCGTTTTCATAATATCTGAGACTTAAATCAGACTAGGTCTTACGAGCTGTTAGCACGGCTTGTCTACAGCGTGTTCCGTGAGTATCATTATTTTGGGGAATCCTAATTGGCCCATTCTCAGCCAATCAGCGCTAACAGATAACTGGAGAAGACTCCGGCATCTTGTATAAAATTCTAAATACACTAACATTTTTATTACTGTATCACTCTCAACTTGGTTTATTTGGATTTCATTGGCGTATATGTCCAAGCCGTGTCATGATTTTCAGGACCAGTCAAGTGAGATCATGTTCAAATTCTGTTGCGCAATAAGGGTATCTGAGTCATAATGGAAGTTCTAACAGGAACCCAAGTAGGCATTTCAAGATATAACTTACTGTGCATCGATGCGAATGCTTTTTTGCTACCATTGAAGTTATTGCTTCTATGAATTTGGTGTTTACCATGTTGTGCTAATAAAATATGGCAACTTGGACCGATGCATAAATGTGCCTGGTCATACGTCGTAGCTGACTGATTGAGTTTTTCCCCTGAGTTCATAGTCATAAAATATTTCGATACAATAGAGTCACAAGTTACAACGCAATGTTTATCCAGCATTCCCCGTTTCATTTTCGTCTTATTTCTCTTATTTATATATTGGGTAATTTTTAGCCTAAGTGTTCGAACTAGAAATGCGAAGAATGACTTGATAAGAAATTAATTGAAATAAGCATTTAATTAAAAGCACTAAGGAAATCTTCGTTTGCATTGAATGAAATGCTTAATTTTCCCTGAAAACTAACTTCCTCTATTCCAATCTATAAGGTCACAAGTCAGCATTTCATTTCTTTTATTACGGTTTAGTAGTAGATCAGCTTGGTTAACACTGATACTACAGGTTCTGTCTGTGGTTGTAAGTACTGATCTTGTAAATGAGTTCCATTCTTTCTTGTTTAAAGATAACGAAATATTGATTAAACCAAAAGAAATTTTGTTTCTTTTGTGCACATTATTTCTTTATTTATAGAACTTCACATGTTTACTTTCATGGAGGTCAAACAAGCTAATAAATTCGTCGTACAAACTTCGGTTGCCTTCTTATCTTCGTACTCAGGAGAATTCCGGTAAAGCATCGCGTCCTGGAGAAAGAAAGAATGATCAAACATCTAATATTCGTATTACTGTTTTAAGTATTTATGAAGATAATATTTATTTTAGCAAAGTTTGAATTACGGTTTTCATTTTCTCGAAATAAAATGCCTGACCCTCCTGGTGGATGGTCTTTTGCTTCTTGGGTTATACTTGGTGCTGTTGGTTTAACATGGGTTGTCTACCACAATTTTTCAATGTACAGAAAGGTCGATTGGAAAGAGTTTACAGATAACTTCCTACAAAAGTAAGGCTTCAACATATTTCTTTACTTTATTATGGTAGAAACTTGTTAGTTTAGTTGTCCAACCTTACAAACAAGTAAAGTGTCCTTATTTGGTAGGATACCCTAGCGTTCACATACACACGTGCTAATTTTCTTCACAGAATTGCAACTTCAATGATGGTTCCTATTTCGTCAAGTTCTAGTTTAGCATACTGGTTGTGAAGTTCAATGAGTATTGCAGCTCATTGATATTTGGTTAAGTCGGTCATACAAATCTTTGTGTATCTTTATATTTATGTAGCACAAAAGACATTGTATTAAGCTTATTTTCAATGTGAACTAATGTCGAACACGAGCTCTTAGTTTACCAATCAGCAAATCAGTTGGTTAACCTTGATCACTAGTTTGTTTTGGAATGCGAATGATAGTTAATAGTTAATACAACACTCTCTATAGTCTTTGGTCCTTTTTGTCTCTCTTGTCTACGTCTCACGTGTCTACTTGGTTAGTGTTAATAGTTTTTTGCAAACACTAGAAAACTCCAATCCTCAAAGGTCTATTTCCCCATGTGGACTACTATTTTGTTAATTTTTAGCGTAAGAATGTATTTTCTTGAGTATTCAAACCTTGTCATCTGTTCATTTATAATGGATATGACTTGAAGCATAGTACACGGGTGATCTATCCGTGTTTCTTGAGTTTCGAATTCTTCATAAGTCTGAACTTTTCACCTTAATACTGTTCTATCTTGAATGTATCATCAATGTCACCCAAAAGTTCAGCTACCTGTGATTAAAATACTACCGTAATTTTTCCCGAGATCATAACGTTTACATTAGTACGACAGTTTTGAAACTATTTTTCCACTCAGTTTGCGGCATTCATGCTTTTTATTACAAGGCTTGTCTGTTCTCTCTGATTTAGTTTGAAAAAAGTTGAAAAATAATTCTGAATATTAAATTTTAGACTGTTAATTTAATCAATATGAAAACAGAATTTGCAACTCCATGTGGTATTCATTAACATTATTTTATTTTCTCATTCCTATTTAACTTGATATGTTTCCATAGTTAGTACTCTCATCTGATTTCTCAGGAATTTAGCTAGTACCAAGAGATTCACTTTTTGACTTAACATTCACAGACCATATAGCTATGTTTAATGAAAACTGTCACCAAACTAAGGCTTCTGATCGCCGTGAGTGATAATGTAAACAAATTTGGCAAATATTTCTCCTCAAATAGCGATATTTTACCTCAGCGTTGTTCTGTGTCAACCCCTGTACTAATAATACGGGCTGAAGTACTTAAGGGCATCTACTTCACTTATCCTAGTAGTCTCATCAGCCCTAGTGGGTTGATGTCCGACTGAATTTCGTCACGGATTCATAAAGCTCGTTTGGCTTTTGCCAACTTGTGACATAGGCGGGTTGTCCATATTTAAATAAAAGACTATGAGTGTCAGTTCTCTCTGTCCTACTTCATATGGGTGAAATTTAGTTTAGGAATGTAGGTGACATGCATAGGCTAAATGTTTTTGATTCTAAGTCTTTTTGAAGTACTTTACGTATTGACGAACAGCTGACAGGAATGTTGAGGTTAGGCGTGAGACCATCTGCTGTCCACCCCGACGCACGACGCTTGCTGGTATAAGAGTAAACTAAAAGAAGGCTAGACCAAGACATGACATCTATCCATGAAGACATTAGCAACTGTACTGAACCATGTTGATAAATACAGACTATCTTGTTGGGGTCCATGTGAAAATAGTGATCGGTGTTTGTAAACTTTGGTGGACGTGACTCAGAATCGTTCACCGTGAAATAGACTCACTCTATATTTTCTTAAAATATTGTGCTTTTTTCTATATTTATTATCTCCCACTACTACTATGGCCGAAGGTACAGCTACTGTTAAATTCACTACTCTTAGATTTGTTTTGGAATTTTTTCTATAATGGAAAAATGAACCAATTTATATGTTTCCGGTCCTACATTGCATAGAACTGACTGACGAGTGTAACCTGGTACAACTTTCCACTAAAATTAAAATGCACTGTACAAAATACTGAAATAACATTGGAAAGTAAATAGAAAGAAATATATTCATAAAGTAAATAAGTATGTAGAATAATTAAGTTAAGAAGAATGATATACAATAGAATATATAGTTAATTCAATAATGGAGTTCCCTATAGTTAAAGAAGTTTCACTCATTTTTACGAAGAATAAACAAGTAAACTACATATTTACCATCTTTTTTCTATTATTAGCTATATCTAATTATGCCTATCTCCTGCGTCGTTTCGTTTCCAGGACCCCAAACAAAGACAAATGTCAATCTTACTCAGCTTTTTTTTATCACTAGCACCATATTAGTAATTGACCTCTCTCCTTATTCTAACCAGCTCTAGTGAATGTAAATGAAGCACGATTTGGAAGCCACTGGATGACTTCTGTAAAATATGTCCAAACCGATTAAATTATCATTACTACACCCGAATACACATTGTCGAACCTCTTCACTACTAACATATTGTTACCACCAAATGTCAGCAATCATTCAAAGACATCAAATCTTCAGATTGTTAAAAAAGACTTTGCAATTCGCATAGCTTTTCATTTTGATGACTTGAATATAGCACTCATAATTTGTAACTTGTTCAGTCGAATTACTTTGATTTAATGATGCGTCTGGTTTAAAAGTATAATGTAAAACTGTTTATGTTTGATAAACACTGAAAAATTTATTTGTATAATATGTATATGCATCTCATTTTATATCAGTATATTTTCGTAGGGGTGCTGTCCATCACTTAGAGGTTGTGAACAAATCTTGGGTTAGAGTCCATCTCCAACCAGGCGCAGATTTCGAGTCGTATGAATCCATTGATCCCAGCAAGAAAATTTATTGGTTTGAAATCGGTTCAGTTGACACTTTTGAACGAAGTCTACGTGATATGGAGGCTCATATGGGTATAGATCCTATGCATAGAACGTTTATAACCTATAGCAGTCGTCTAAAGCTGTAAGTACCATTGGTTAATTATCATTAACTAACTTTTCGAAAATTAATTTACAAGGCACAGATTTGTGTACCGAACTCCGTGTCATACTTTAAGTCCGAGGACTCTGTAATTATCAAAATTGAAGTAGGTAGATTGGCGTCCAAACTTGTAACTTAATGGCTAAAAGTTAAATTTTCTAGCTGCTGACACATCGGAGAAAACTGTTATTAACTTTGATATGAAGTTATTCGACATATTTTTATAAATTTACAGTGTGGCAACTCACAGTTGGCAGAAATAGAATGATTGTCTGTCAGTAAATCGTTTCATACACTTAATGGACTTTGTTGTTACAGAAATAAAATGATACGTCTTGTAGAAGCTACGATTTATCATGATTTATTTGAACGTTTGAACATGATTTATTCTGATCTCACTAATTCTGTGGTTTACATATGTGACCTTAAGATGTGTGTATGGTTGTGTCTTTATGGTTACTTGTATCTTTCATGTCTATAAATTTTGATTCGTATTTTAATTAAGTTGAGTAGACACAGTTGAACTCTCTACTTTTACTTATTCTCTGTTTGCATTAACGAATGTGTGAAATATATATATTCAAAATCATTTTCATATTTGGCATTTTTTATTCCATTATTTACTAACGCGAATCAAGTCGATAAATATACACAAAGTTAAGTGGGATATGTATTCCATTCGCGTCGGTCTCATATGATCATAATAAAGTCAGTACATTGCAACAGTTTAAAACCTTCCTGTCATTATGCATTAACAGCGCATCCAACTAATAATCATTAACTAAGAAAAATTTTCTACACTTGTCAGTCATTCACTTTCTGTGCCTAAGCTTGACGAGGTTTGAAGGCTTTGAGGGTCCTCTACAGTCTGAAGTAAAACCATTCACTGTCGTTAGTATCTGCACACTACTTGGATGGTTTTACGGTAGAAAAATTATTTGTTATTGGTTCAAGATATTTTGCTGTCAATATAGTACTATATTAAGCATAAATTGCTAATCGTTCAGTTGGTTTTATTTTTTACTTGAATTAATCCTGTACTTTATATCAAATTGTGAAACAACTTTATTCGAATAAGTGGTAACAGTGTGAAATAAATGTACGTTCAGTTTAACCAAAATTGTATCCTCCTGAGCAAAACTTAATTGCAGTTTGATTGTTTTTATCTCCTCTAATGAATTGTACATAATCTCTTTTAAAACAAATGGATGGGTAAATTTTTTTGTGTTACAATCAAAATATGCGTTTCTGTGAAATGGAATATTTAGTATCCAAATAGTAGTTTTCTCATATTTTGTACATTACTTTCCATTTGTTGATATTGACACATATGGCTTAACTGAAAGCTCGGTGAATATTTGATCAATTTTGTAGAAGTCGCTATGAAAGTCAAATCTTTTTTCTGTAAACCTAGCTTCTCATATTTTCACGACGATGGATTCTGATTTTCTTCATGTAGTAGTATGTATATATATCTCAGAAACCAATACTTAGTGGGACTTGGAGACTCTTCTCGGGCTTATTATTCACGAGTATTAGCAGGATTTCGAATCCTATTGTTTTACCTCTCGTGCGTCCATGCTTTTATTCTTTTTTCTCATTTGTAGATCAGATGTTTTATATGGCATTTTCTATATTTCTTTGTTCTTAATGGCTGTGTATTCCTTACGGCCTGCATCTGGTGGTGTTGTACGGAAGGTAAGCAGTATTTTTGGTAGCACGAAAATCAGTTAGTAAATGTGTTAATGGATTTAAGTGTGGAAGTATATTGGTGTTATGTATATACAACTGAATCCTTCTTTTTCTAGTCAGGACTGGGTTCAGGATTATTCAATTTCGGACAGTCACCTGTGCGTTTAATAGAAAAAGATAAGATTGGTGTACGTTTTAACGATGTAGCAGGTTGTGAAGAAGCAAAACTTGAAATAATTGAATTTGTTAACTTCCTAAAAAATCCAGCAAAATACGAAGCGCTAGGAGCAAAGATTCCTCGTGGTGCCATCCTAAAAGTTAGTTTGCTATGATTTGATTTACAATCTTATAATGTGGCATAATTACTCTCCGTTTGTTAGTTTATATTCCAAGGATTTTCTATTGCACATTCTCGCTATTTGTCACTCGTTATCTCTATTTTAGAACCAATTTCACTTTATCATAAATTGGGGTTAGTGATGAATTGTGAACGGCTTTTAGATTGTTAAAAATGAATGATGTCTATCAAATAATATGATTTGGCTGAGTGATGGCTGTTCGTTCGACTGAATTTATGAGATATTACTGAGGTAGTGAACCTTCATCGATTGAGGTGGATAGAATACGTATAACATGACCATCTGCTGCCCACCTCGACGCACGACGCTTGCTGGTATAAGAGTAAACTAAAAGAAGGCTAGACCAAGACATGACATCTATCCATGAAGACATTAGCAACTGTACTGAACCATGTTGATAAATACAGACTATCTTGTTGGGGTCCATGTGAAAATAGTGATCGGTGTTTGTAGACTTTGGTTTACGGAACTTAGGATCTTTTACGATAGGGAAGATTAATTCACTCTTTGTCTTCTCTTAGTTTCTGACTTTTAAAATTAATTTATACATCATATTTCACAAATTCGTCTTCGAACTGTATTCCCTGTACTTAAGCTTATTTAGTACACTAGTGTTACTACTTTGGTATTCATAGCGATATATTGTTTTGTAACAAATTGAACCAATATACATATATGTGAAGTCCTACGTTGCTTACAACTAAGTGATTGTGCTATTAATTTTTCTTCTCAAACCAACTTAAGATCGTCATTTATATTGCAACTTATTTGATACCAAGACAATAATAATGATGGGATGTGACTGAATTCGACATGAATGTTTTAGGGTGTTGACTATTGTAGTAAAGTGTTCTCTTCGAAAGCTTCGTATTCGTGTTACTACATGGTCCTATCAATTCTTTTGGATAGTTTGCTCTCTAGTTAGGTCAATCAATGAAAAATATTTGACCGTTTTTTATTGTGAGTTTTTACTAGTTGAAAATATGTCTGGACACTTTGTTTAATTATAAACAACCTAATTGTTAACCTCTGTTTATTAAACGGAACCTTCCTATAACTCATGGGTTGTGTCTTTGCTAATATTACACCCATCGAGCTCACTTATTTTTTTCAAGACTGCATTTCTATTGTCATCGAAGTTGACGTTTAGTCCTCACCTTTTGTTTCTTATTTTGTTAACTTATTTTCTAGCTGTACTTATGTGTGACGTAACAACCTGAGTCAACATACATTTATATCTTTTCTTAGGTCTATGATAGACGTTTATGAGAGAACGAGAGCATAGTTTCTGTATCCTTGTTTTCTGGAAAGCATCACTTATTTTTGTATCAATTCGTTCTGTCATAGCAATTAACTACACAGATTTCATCATTTTGCCTCGATTTACTTTATTCTTCACGTTTGCTGTGGATGTTTTTTAATTGTCTCCATAGGTGATGAATTTTTTTGTGTCATTCAGTTATCTTAGGAGATTGCACTCGTTATCAATTTTCTCAGGCTTAACAACAGGCGTTTTCTTAATTTAGGGTCCTCCTGGTACTGGCAAAACACTTTTGGCTAAAGCAACTGCTGGAGAAGCGAATGTTCCATTCCTTTCCGTTTCTGGAAGTGAATTTTTAGAGATGTTCGTTGGTGTAGGACCGAAAAGAGTACGCGATATGTTTGCCTCTGCACGAGACAAAGCTCCCTGTATATTGTTTATTGACGAAATTGACGCTATTGGTGGCAAGCGATCTGGTACATCATTTGGTCATCAGGAACGGGAAAATACTCTCAATCAACTACTTGTGGAAATGGACGGTATTATAACTCTAAACTGACATTTTGATTTTCTCTGTAACGTTTTTTAATACAAAATTGCTTCTTTACAGCCAACATTTTTTATAAGTTACCGGTAAAATAGTGAAAGCAAATTTGTCTCAAGGATTTATAGATCGTTTTGTGGTTGTATGATTACAAGCGTTTACCAGTATGGAAACAATCGTCACTCGTTTTCTGCTTATTTTGAATTCATTTTAGTAATATGCTGAATTAAAAAAGGAACATAGTTTTTCTGCATTTATAATTTTCAAAGGTCCACATTATTGTACTACATACTGTCCGTATCAGTCGAAGAAACACTTAGCGAAAAGTTTATTTTTCAGTGTAATACAATAAACAAGACATCTGAGTAATTTAGAGTAAACCATTGAGTGAATACTGTTTATATTTCTTATTACTGTTAAGAGTGGGTAAACTGAAGATGATTATTCTTACAAAACGATTTACTAAATGGATTGCTTTGAAGATATTTTAATCAAGTGTAACTTTAATTAATGCATTTTCCAATGAGTTTTACGTTGGATTATGGCTGTGATAATTTAGCTACTTGACTCATTTAGGATTTCGTTATAACTCGAGTAGGCAGTATAACTTTCAAAATGAAAGTTAATTTGATCTAAGGAACTGACAGAAAACCCAAACATTTTGGATCAAATTTATACTAAAATAGTTAGTCTAATAGACGCCGTTAAAAAAAGTCTTGTTGACAAAAGTAACAAAATATATCAAACTTAATGAACAGGAAATCACCGAAGTATTTTCCAAGCTAGTTTTTTGCACTTAAGATACAGTTTACTGTTTTCAACTAAATTTATACCTGGATTTTTTCCCCATCTAATCTTTGTTTAAGTGCCCAATTTCATCCCGAATGTAGATGATGGCTTGAAATCAATCCTCAGCTTATTTCTACAGAAAGTTTCGTCTTATCCTTTAATAATTTTTATTTGGTCGCTTTTCCTTTCTAATGACAATTAACATTGGTATTCATGTTTATTATTTATAGAGATGTGAATATACAACACAGTTTATTCATATAAATTGTGTTGGTTGAACAAAAATTAGTAGTCATTTTGACCTTTAAATCTGATCGTATTAATAGCAAAACCACACATTTCGCTTTGTAAGTTAGTCATTGACTAAACATGTGTACATTTGTTAAATTCTCCAGATATTGGGTCAAGTTTGTTTGAGACCTTAGCATTTTATGCAAAAGCTTATTTCATTCTCTTTCAAAGTATATTTTTGGCCAAAGGATACTTTTAAAATTTCTAAACCTCTTATTTACTTTAACTTTTGTCAATTTAATTCAAATGATGAATTGTAACACTTAGGTGATATATGGATACATCCATATTGGTCATCGATGTAGTGTAATCTTCTCGCTGATTATCACTATAGGTATTTTAAAGAATCCTAATGACTATTTCATTTCTGTTAGGGTTTACTACTCAAGAAAATGTTGTCGTTCTGGCTGCTACCAATCGTATTGATATTCTAGATCCAGCTCTTCTTAGGCCTGGACGTTTTGATCGTCAAATATATGTATCATTGCCAGATATCAAAGGTCGTGCATCAATATTTAAGGTTTGTACATATTATCTTGCAGATTTTACTGTTTTAAATTTGGGCATGTTGAATTTATGAACATTTGTGTTCTGTTTGCATACTCAGTTAAAGTATTAATGTTAGTCATGGAAGTAAATTTAAATGTAGACATATTTATACCAAGTTAAACCTATATGTATTCCTACCTCTATGATCTGTGTATGAATCCTAAGGGTTCTTGTGGATACCTCATGAGTACATGGTATCAATACATATTCTGCGTTAATTGAAGGATGATTCGTCAAAAGAACTGCTCTTCTTATGTTGTCAAAATTCAGTTGTATATTCTGTAGTTACGGTTTCATCAAACTGATGAATATCGGACCAGTTTAGCATATTTAAGCCATCATTAACTATGTATGGCAATGGTAGATTCCTTGTCCTCTCTTTTTCTGCTCTGTTAATGCACCGATATTAAATTGTACAGGGATGTGATGGACTTCATTCACTTCAAATCTATTGTGTCATGTTTGAAGTCTGTCAAGTTGAGATACTCCACAGCAGCCTAGTTCATGGTTAGCTTTGGTCTCGATAAAGTATTCTTCACATTACTGTGCACGTTAATAGATTTCATTGACTGTAAGCAACATATATACTTCAATCATTTAAATTATTCATTTGAAAGATGTAATTCAGATCACTCACGTTTTCGCTTTAGAGTACCAACATGTGTTATTAGGTTCTACTGTTTGTTACTGTTAGCGGGACATAAACTAGATTAAAGCATGCTCAATGCATGATTGCTTTGGTGCACGCTGATTGGCTAATTCTTATCCAATCAGCACTAGTCGATAGTTGGAGAATACTCTGGAATCTTCTTATGTAAAAACTATAAATATACTGACGTTTTTCCCTATTGTGCTTCTGACTTGCTATTTGGAATATAATCTCTTTCCTGTTCAACCGTGTTCTGATTTGGGGACTTGTCGAGTGAATCGGTGTCCAAGAATACTAAGCAATAGGAATAGCTGGGTCATTAACTGTAAGAAAGAGAGAGTTATAACAGTTACCAATAGCGCCCGTGATATTTCATGTTCACTTAAAGTGATTTTTCGCCAGACAATTAACTGAGTCCCTTCTTTCTCGTGTATCCTGTCTAGTATAAAGGTACAAGCTTTGTCTATTTTCGTAAGTCTCGATAATCGTATTCAAATGTCTCCTTAATTCTTGATCTCGAGGTTAAATAGGGCCCCTTGTTTGCAATAATTTGTATGAAAATGACGTTAGCTTCCCGTTCATGTACAAATCATTAACTACGTTGTCGGTAATTGGTGGGTATTTAGATTTCGGAAACACCACATCGACCCACGGGACGCTGGATTCCTAGTTAGTGACACCTGTTGTTCTGTTTGAAATAGAGTCCGAAGCTAAACAAACCACAATATGTAGCCTAGGGTGTGATTTAAGGAAACCTGGAATAAAATTTTGTGGACTTGAGGTGTTACCATCGTTGGCACATGTATAAGAACTCAAAGTAAGAGGTGAGAATTGACAATAGAAACAGAACTAATATCTGGTAATAAAGATGAGATTTGATTATAAGCAAGGTGATCTCGTGTACCGTTAGTGGTAAGAAAGTGATTATCACTTTCCGGTTACCCATATCTTGGAAAGTTCTTTAGTTGCTTGAAAAGAAAGTTGTGTTAAAAGTGGCCCTGATGACCGAAAAGCGTGATCACAATACCTATAGGACAGTTTCTCAAGTCCAGCTGCACACAAGCTTTTTACTATTTTGTGGTGTGTTGTGACTTCAAAAAGAACTGCCATCTGATTCTGAAATCCGTTTGGCAAGGTAATATGTGTTATTTTTAGGGTTGGTCCCTCTTGTTCAGTTCTGAGAAAGCAACATTACCGCAGATGCTGACTGTCTAGAAAAAACCTTTTACCGTATATATATAGGATTACGTAGTTTGTTAACCATTATATAAAGAAATTATAATCAGTTTATAACTACGTAATGATTATTAACAAACTTTGTTCCCCTGATTCGTCTTCTGTTCTATGCTATCTACCTTCATCAGTCTTCGTAAAGATTTGTGTTTTTGTTTTGATACTAGATACATTTGAAACCAATTAAATTAGCTGATGATATGCAACTTGTAGCTCGCAAAATGGCTACACGTACTCCGGGATTTTCTGGTGCGGATATTGCAAGTGTATGTAATGAGGCAGCGTTAATCGCTGCGCGAGAAGATGCTCATAGTGTCAATCTGATCCATTTTGATAAAGCTATCGACCGTGTAATTGCTGGGCTAGAAAAGAAAAGTCAAGTAATGTTGTTCACTTTTTCATTCCGTCTTGACATGTTTATTTAGTTTCTTTGATTTGAAATTGTCATTACTTAGGTATTTTAGTTTGTCAGTATTTAATAATGTTTGCGTTGCAGACAGTTAGGGGTACATAAGATGGGAACTACCAAATTCGAAAAAGGAAAACGGAATTCAAAAACCATATGTGAGTACCAGTTTAACAACTCAAATGATGTAAAGCGCAGTTATGGTAAAATTGTGTTACAGTGTTTTACGACTAAAGTTTCTCAGAATTTAAGATACTTTCTCTTAGTTGAACTAAAAGCTAGGACAACTACACAGAACAACCTAATGCCACAGATGATTTCATTGTGTTACATAGGGATGATCACGGATTCGAGGATTTAACAAACGCAACTTTATGTTTCTTCAAAAAAGGATAAGGATTTCTTATGTGTTGATCGTTTGACATTTAACTGGTTTGGGACATTCGCACGCTGTTCCTCCTAAATTTATTTTGAGAGCTCGATAGTGTTGTGCTGTATGCTGTTTATGCCGACTGACATGAGTAGTATGTAGCAGCAATCGGAAGTAGAATGCCTGGCAGCAGAAAATTGAATTGAAGAGAACTGAAAGGAAATCATGGAGTAATCGAAATGACAACAGAATCAGAGGGATAGTGGAGTATGTGAAGGAGAGCGCAAAGTGGATGTGCAAATGATGTATTTAATGTATGATTTTAAGATTTTATTAAGCCACTGTGATTTTGCATCAAACAAAAAATTGGTTTTCCCCACCTGAGTTCTCGTTCACTAGTTTGACTAGCTCATATAATAGTGGCTCAAAGTGAAGTACACGGACCTGTATGGAGTCACGTTAACTGATAAGCTTCAATGGTCGTTGTTTCATTTCCAGTAGTAAAGCTGAAGCAAATGATAATCCTTGTACTAATGTAAGTATCAGTTAGCAACATTTTTTTCTTTAGATACAGAAGCGTATTAGCTGTACTATGGGAAGTGAATATGGCCTGTGGTCTGGAGTTTGCTTTCCTATAATCCCTATATGCTTGTGCGAGTGCTGATAAGATGTATCGTACAAGTGAAATCTGCTATCCTGTTATTTGTAAGTGTCTTTCAGGTTGTCACAGTCACGCGGTTTTGACTCTGAAGCATAATCTTCGTGAATGATAGAAATAAGAACTACTGTCCTAATGTTGGTGATTTTTTTATGAATGGGGTCACATGGCTGAGTTTTAAGGGTTGGTGGACAGGAAACAATAAAAAAGATTGATCTGATCTTAAGATTTGTGCTGTTTCACAGCTTGGTATTTTCTACGTTACAATTCTCTATGTAAATTTTGCACAACTTATTACCCATCGCTGTTTGTTTATATTTGAATTCGAACCAAATTCAGTTAATAAGTATCACATTACCTGTTAAACGTTTTCTGCAAAGTGAACGAATGAATTTTATTGTACTTGATCGTGAAATTACTTCTTAGTCATACGAGCTAGAACTGTTGTTTTTATATGATATGATTAATCGATTGCTCCTCAACACTAAATATCCCTTAGATCAGTTAGCTTTGTAACATCTTTTGTTTTCGAACAACGTCTCATAATTTACCTAATTCTCCTGCTTCAACCATGTGCAATGCTTTTCCATAATACATATTTATGGTTTTGATGTAAAACTGTAACAGGTTGTATATACAGGAAATAGATTGTTTGAGCACTGCTGAAGCAGACCTTTATTCCGATTCATCTTCACTGTAAGCTGATTTCTGTTGTGCCATTGAAAATTGCTATTCTTTCTCTTATGGTCTAGCCTTATATCTCATGTATTCTACTTCTTCATGTTGGAGCGGAGTAACTGTTTTGTATTTTTTGCTTATTAGGTATTACAACCCGAAGAGAAAAAAATAGTTGCATACCATGAAGCTGGACATGCAGTTGTTGGTTGGTTTTTAGAACACTGTAATCCGTTGTTGAAAGTTTCAATAATTCCTCGTGGTAAAGCTCTTGGTTATGCTCAGTATCAACCTAGGGATATCTATTTGTTGACTAAAGATCAAATGTTGGATGAAATGTGTTTGGCATTAGGAGGTCGAGCAAGTGAAGAAGTGTTTTTCGGTAAAGTTGGAAGTGGAGCAGTGGACGATTTACAGCGTGTAACTCGATCAGCTTATTCTCAAATTGTCCAATTAGGATTCAGTTCAAAAGTTGGGTTGCTAAGTTTCGATTTGCCTGAGCAAGGTGATATGGTTCTTACCAAGCCATATTCTGAGCATACTGCACAAATAATAGACGAAGAAGTTAGACAACTTGTTGAGTCAGCCTACGAAAGAACACTAACGATATTAAGAGAAAAAAGACAGCTTGTCGAAAAGGTAATTTTTTTTGCTTTTGTTTTTTGATATTTTTGAGGTGTTATGTTGAATTAACAAATGTTTAGTTGCTCTAAAGTTTATTAATTCTCTCATTATTCTGCTTATATTTTATCAGGTAGCTCTACGCTTACTAGACAAAGAACAGTTGCAAAAAGAAGACCTGGTTGAAGTATTAGGTCCAAGACCGTTTGTGGAGAAAAACACATATGAAGAACTCGTAGGTCCTGGTAAGCTATCTTAAACTTTTTTTCGGAAATTTTTTATTTTTCTATGACGACTGAGTTTTCGAAACAGCTTATAACATTTCTAAGTGGTTAGTTCAGTGCTTAGAGTTGTGTAATTTGGACGTACTTCCTGAATCCTAAAATTATCTGCTTTTAAACAGCAATAATATATTTAAGTAACCTAAACAAAAGACTTATAAAGGACTCTCCCTAACTAATAATCCGTCGGAAGCACATTTCTGGCTGGTGATGAGGACGACGGCAATTCCGATGTCTCAAAAGCACGGATACAGAATGCTCGACTAACTTTTGCCAAATTGCGTCATTTATGGCGTAGGCGAGATATCCGTCTGCTAACTAAAGGACGGGTTTACTGTACAGCAATCCGTTCCGTCCTACTTTATGGCAGTGAAACATGGCCGGTAAGAGTAGAGGATATCCGTAGATTACTAGTATTTGATCATAGGTGTCTTCGAAACATTGCTCGTATATCCTGGGACCGTTGAGTAAGTAATGCAGTTGTTAGTAAACGGGTACTAGGTAAGGATAGCAAATCCATTAATGAAGTGGTGAAACTTTATCAGTTGAAATGGTTGGGACACGTGTTACGTATGCCCAACGACCGACTGCCTCGACGTGGTATGTTCAGTGGTATAGTAGTAGATTGGAAGAAAGCTAGGGGCGGCCAAACCAAAACATGGCACAAGTCCATGCAGTCACTGACAAGTGAACTGAGTCATGTTGGTAGGTGTAGACTACCTGGTTGGGGACCGCGAGATGATAGCAACCGATGGTTAGAGACCCTGAATGATATGGCTCAAAATCGTTTGCAATGGCGCAGGTGCATCCACTCTCTGTGTTCTCCCAAATTCTAATCTTCTGAATTCTTCATGTCCCTGTTTTCCTCTTTCCAAATTTATTTCACTGGATTATACTCATTGAATAACATCTTCAAATCCTAATGTTATTGACTACTGCTTATACTCTTACTACCTCTACCATTAAGGGATTTGAATTGACAGTTGTATGTGTGTGCTAATGTGGTGTGGCAACTCGAACTGATGTACGTACGTACGAAGTTCTACGTTGTTGAAAACTGACTTCTGATCATGATTAGTAATTTAAATAGGTTGTTTCTTAATAGTAAGGAAAGAATAGTTATTATCTTTTATATATTTTGTGGTTGTTTGATGACCATTTATCATCTACTCTAGTGCACATGTAAAATACGATCTGCTCCGTGCTATTAAAAATATTAATACAGTTGGCTTTTTATTTCTCTGTAGTGATACATACTGAGAGTGTAATTTATACAAACATTTTCAGTTTGTTGAAATTAATATTCATTTTCTTGCATAATAAACGGGTTTCTGACTTGAAATAACTTCTTCCTGTTACGTAAATAGGTAAGCTCTTTTATGTTTCTTTTTCCAGGCCCTTTGGATGAAGATGTGTCACTCCCTCCTGGACTCAAGGACTGGAATAAAGAACCAGAGTCGAAATCAGAGGCCTCGTAAAGTTGCATGTAGTTTAATTTGTATACTTATTCCTCTACCATAACTTTTACATCTGACGTTGAAAAGAAAATTTGCAGTATGTTTGTAAAATAAACTCTAAGTTTCTTCTAATACCTGAAATTATTTTTGTAGTGCCTCGTATTTACAATATTATGTCGATTTCAATATAGTCCCTCGCTTCATAAGTTCACTTTATTTGGTAAAAGTTACACGATAGTGTGTCTACGTGTTGGATAATAGTGTAAAACCAAGGACATTTATTTACAATAATTTGCGTTGTATCGGTTGTCTAAATTTTCTCATCAAAGTTTCAGGGCTGTAATTAATCAGGCGTGGATTGCCTCGATGTCGCCGTAAGTTACAAGCATCCTAAACAAAAATGGACGGTAGCTAGATTTTACGACACGCGGCTTGTCCTTAAATCAAACTTCGCAATTGTACGAACTAATGATTATCTGGATTTAGTAGCTAAGTGAATAATAAGGTGGCGTTTAAGTCGAACGGCACTTGGTTCGAGTCCCGAAGTAAACAGCTGTCGGCTTCAGGTACAACCAAATGATGGGTTTTAAATGAGGCGGGACGGACGTTTTGGGTCCTACTACTGTCGAACATCGATTTCTATTTATTTGCTTACTATCGTCTTGACATGAGATCTGAAGAAAACCTTGTCACTACTTCACTGTGTTCATAGGAATTGAGAAAACGGCTCCCGCGTACTAGCAATTGATTCTTTTTAACAGCATAGTGCTTTAATATGACTACACAGATCCGTAATACGTATCGAAACTTTCCAACGAAGAAAAAACCTGTCTACTAGGGAACTTTCAACTTCGCTAGAATCGCAGTTATGTTCGCTTGAATAACTCACTCTGGATCCCTTAAGTACGGAAACACTGAGCTGACCGTGCCGGTGTAGAACGTCATCATTGGTTCTGTCTGCTCAAAGTAAAAGGAGGAGATGGCTAAAAATCAGCTCTGAAAGTAGAAGTTTCCCTTCTCAGTCCTAGGACATGGATCTTGCTCAGTGAGGACCTCAATTTCTGAAATATCATGAATGTTCATTTCACCTAAGTATAGTTATTATTTTTAAGTCAATAGACGTTTCAATCACTCAGTTCTCTATCGACTTGGTAATAATAGGTGTGGTGATCCTGCTTATGATGGTATTTACGGTGTTTATAAGTAATGTGGTCGTCCTCATATGATTTTAATCCAATTACACTATCTGGTTGATTAAGTTCTTCAGATGTAATCTATTACTCAGCAGTGCTGTTCCTGAAATGCTTGTCTGCAATGTAACGAGATAATTATGAATGTTATCTGTGTTTCCTTTAGAAGAAGCACATCGTGGAATCCGAAGACAGATAAAGTCTGCAAATGTGTAAAGTAGGGTTTGTTTAGGTTTGTGTTGTAAAATTTATTATAAGTCATTATTTTTTTGAAGAAATATATTGTTAAGTGTCTAAATTAGGCCGAGTGCATGTAGTAGAATAATAATTTGTCAAAAAATAATATCCAAAAACACTTTGAATTTATATTATTACGAACGAATAATAACTAGATATACAGATAGAAGTTTGGGTTAGGAATAACTGTGGAGTGGAAAAGTGCTTTGTAACTTGCGGATGGTACTCATGCAGTCCTTTGGATTTTAATAACAAGACCTTGGTAGTATCATTGATAATGTGCACTTGGATGAAGAGATGACAACATAATTCAGTGATATCATCCTGCTTTGTGTCGAAACTATGATTGACCGTCGCTTTGCAGATTCCTACTGCGGAAACTCGACATTATGTGTTGAGCGACTGACAGTGGTTATCGAACATATACAGCGATACGGGGACGACAAGGTTGATTTGCTATAGGGTAGCTGGTGTATCAGCGAGAAAATAGGCTTGGTCCATCTGAGGGTCTTAGAAGTAACGTTATACTATCAAGTTAAACAGATAGTTAAATATGGAATCTATTCGTGGTTTTCTGAATGGTCCCTGATCAACACATTGAGTGATAACTCGAAACATAATGTTATTGAATGTTCATGTAATTACAGCAACTGGTACATAAAGTATTAATAAACTGTATACCACATACAGGTCACCTTATGAGTAGCGTCCACTAAAATGGTATTAATTTGTTAATACCAGATCTTTAGCGAGCTATTAATGACTTTGACACCAGTTGTTGAATCGGAGTAGAAAAATAACACTGGTACTAGTATTGTGATCGAATCGCGATACTCCAGAGGTATAATGCGATGCCATAGGTTCAGAATCTTGTGGGGTTACTTTGAAGTGTCCAGAGTTATAATTATTTAACGCATTTACAATATTTATGTCCAACAGAATAAGACTAGCAGACACAAATATGTTTACCAGGGTGACCGAATTAAAACCTAAGTTAACCAGCATATTTGGCTTTCATATGTCTGGTCTGAGCATTTAATTATGTGATTTCACCATATTTGCACCATCTCCCAGCTTTTCTAAAGTCGTGATACTGCTCGGAACTAATGCACACTCACTTTACTCGCTTGGATCTAAAATGACTGCTTTTGGTTGTCTATATCGATAGTGTATTGGGAAGCCAAGATATATAATAAACTGATTGATCACCATTCACTTGTAAATCTTTAGTACTTCCCAATCTCCAAAGTCTGAGTAAACCTCCAGAGTCAAATGACCTTCATCAAGGCTAAAGGTAAATATTGGGGTTTTGGTGCAACTTACCCAAACGTTTAAACAGCGGCTTCCCCAAAATGGGTTACATCTTCCTCGAAATTGGGAGATTGGTCTAGCTGAGCGCTCAGGATTATCTCTTACATTTATGAGCTTATAACTCCATGGATGGTCATCTCACAATTTTCCAAAAAACTTGAGTTTTTTAAAATTGGAATATACCAACTTTGTCTACCAAAGTCACTGAGTTATATTTTTCTTAATTAATTATCGAAGAATAAATGCAGTATTTAAAAAAAAACAACTAAGAAATGAATATTAAGCATGATCAAAAACGGAAAATTGAATATTTTCAAGGGCAACATATAAACTTGCTCGTGATTAGTGCAATATTAGTTTCAGTTTTCTCCTGTAATAACCCTGGTAATCATGGTCTCTCACTTAATAAAAATTTCATTTGAAAACGTAAGTTGAAGAAACAGTATGAAGAAGCAGGACCATACAACCATTCAGACCTTGCTCACGTTGCTAGTTAGTATCTACTTACGTTATTCGATATCCAAATTTGCTAGAGCTTCGTGGTTTAACAAGCTTATTTCGCTGAAGTATATAAATGCAATTAAAGCTTGTTAATAAACCATAGTAGTCAGTAATTAATATGCATAACCTTACTTACTTCCTTACGCCTGTTACTCGCAATGGAACATAGGCCGCCGATCAGCATTCTCTAACCCACTCTGTCCTCGGACTTATTTTCTAGTTCCATCCAATTCTTGTTCATTTCTCTCATGTCTATTTCCATTTCTCTGCGTAATGTGTTCTTTGGTCTTCCTCTTTTACTTTGGCCTTCAGGATTCCATGTGAGGGCTTGTCTTGTGACGCAGTTGGGTGCTTTCCTCAATGTGTGTCCTATCTCCTTCCAGCGCTTCTTCCTGATTTCTTCCTCCACTGAGATCTGGTTTGTTCTCTCCCATAGTAGGTCTTTGCTAATAATGTCCGGCCAACGGATCCGAAATATTTTGCATAGACAACTGTTAATAAACACCTGTATCTTCTGGATGATGGCTTTCGTAGTTCTCCAGGTTTCTGCCCCATACAGTAGAACTGTCTTGACGATTGTATTGAAAATTCTGACCTTGGTGTTGGTTGACAGTTGTTTTGAGTTCCAGATGTTCTTTAGTTGTAAATATGCTGTTCTTGCTTTGCCGATCCGCGCCTTCACATCTGCATCAGATCCACCCTGTTCATCAATGATGCTGCCCAAATACGTAAAGGTTTTTACATCTTCCAAATCTTCTCCGTCAATTGTGATTGGATTGGTGCATGCTGTGTTGTGTTGGAGAATCCTGCTTTTCCCTTTGTGTATGTTGAGACCTACTGCTGCTAAGGCTGCTGCCACACTGTTCGTCTTCTCCTGCATTTGTTGTTGCGTTTGGGATAGAAGGGCCAGATCATCTGCGAAGTCCAGATCGTCCAATCGCATCCTAGATGTCCATTGTATCCCGTGCTTCTCTTCAGATGTTGACGTCTTCATGATCCAGTCGATCACCAGGAGAAAGAGAAAGGGTGAGAGTAAGCAACATTGACTAACACCGATCTTCACTTCGAACGACTATGTCAACTGTCTTCCATGCACGATTTTGCAGTGTAATCCATCATATGAACTCTGTATGATATTGACTATCTTCTGAGGCACGCCGTAGTGTCGAAGAAGCTTCCGTAGTGTTGTCCTGTCCACGCTATCAAATGCCTTTTCGTAGTCAATGAAGTTGATGTAGAGTGATGAATTCCATTCAATTGATTGTTCCACAATGATCCGTAGAGTTGCGATTTGGTCTGTACACGATCTATCCTTACGGAATCCTGCCTGTTGGTCACGAAGTTGGGGGTCCACGCAGTCCTTCATCCTGTTTAACAATACCCTGTTGAAGACTTTTCCCGGTATTGAGAGAACAGTGATGCCCCTGTAGTTATCGCAGTTGCTGAGATCGCCTTTCTTTTGTATTTTGATCAGAAGTCCTTTTTTCCAGTCTGTTGGTACTTGTTCTTCATCCCAAATCTTGCTGAAGAGAATGAGGACTATCTTTGCAGTTGCCGCTACATCTGCTTTTAGTGCCTCTGCTGGAATGTTGTCCGGTCCTGCTGCTTTGCCACTCTTGATTTGTCTGATGGCCATGCTGATTTCTTCAATTGTTGGTGGGCCAACAGTGATTGGGAGGTTCGTGGGTGCTGCTTCGATGTTGGGTGGGTTCAGTGGAGCTGGTCGATTCAAGAGTTCTTTGAAGTGTTCT